AAGTTTTTCTATAAGGACATTAGCTCCTTTCTTCTTAAATCGCTTAATGCGGCGTACGACCTAGGTCAAATTTCTATTACTCAAAAACAAGGTGTTATTACATGTATACCAAAAGGGAATAAACTTAGAAAATATTTTAAGAATTGGAGACCTATTTCGCTTCTGAATTCAGATTATAAACTTTTATCTTACTCTTTAGCAAGTAGAATGAAAAGGGTTCTCCCGAGCATCATTTCGCCAGAGCAAAAGGCTTATCTGACGGGTCGCGAAATGTCGGAAAATACTAGATTAATCTTTGATGTTATGGACTTTTTAAATAAAAAACAGATGTCTGGTCTATTGCTTTTAGCGGATTTTGAAAAAGCATTCGACAGTATCGAATGGAAGTATTTAGAGAAATGCTTGATTAAATTCAATTTTGGCAACAGTTTTGTCAAATGGTTCAAAGTTTTATATAACGGTGCTGAAAGTGCGGTTATTAATAATGGCCACTTTTCAAATTTTTTCCAAATTAAGAGAGGCTGCCGCCAAGGGGACTCTCTATCTTGCTATGCATTCATTCTCGCTCTCGAACCTCTCTGTCATCATAAAAAAATGATAAAAGTGTTAAAGGGTTAAAAATCGTTGACCATGATGTTAAAATCGGCATGTATGCCGATGACACTTTCATCACCCTTGACGGTTCCGAAGCTTCACTCAGAAAATGTCCAAATACCTTTTCTCTGTTCCAACACACATCAGGACTTAAATAAATATCGAAAAAAACTCTGCCATTTGGCTAGGTAATAAAGCAAATTCAAATGAAAAACTCTGTCACGATCTACCTTTGAAATGGGAAAGTTCCTTTAAATTATTAGGAATCCAATTTAATAGCGATTTGATAAATATCGAAAAAGATAATCTTGAGGAAAAATTAACTGAGATACAAACTGTAATTAGTAAATACAAAAGAAGAAACTTATCATTAATTGGGAGAATAACAGTTATTAAATCATTTGCACTGTCTAGAATTGTCCATATTATGATGAGTCTACCAAAAATATCTCTTGAATATCATAAACGATTAAAGAATCTTTTCGTAACTTACCTCTGGAACTCGGCGGTTTCAAAGGTAAGTTTCAGCCAAATTTGTCACGATTTTAGAAATGGCGGCCTTAAAGTGATAGATCCGCAAATATTTGAACAATCTTTAAAACTGACCTGGTTACAAAAACTAACAAAAAAACGGTACGTGGCAATCCGTGGCACTGAGGAGCATAGCTAGCATTGGAGTCCAACATGTGCAAGAATTATTTTCATACGACTCCAAATCACTTCAGAAAATTGAAGCAAAAATTGTTAATCCTTTCTTGAAAGGAGTGATTAACATTTTTAGAAAATATACTGTATTGAAGGAAAATGAATTTGAACAAAAATCAGATTTGAAAGCGGAGTATCTAATTAATTGCACCTGGCTTATGTATAGTAAAAACCAGAATGTAAATGCCGTCATCAAAAATACTAAAAACATTTGTGTTCTTACTCTGAAGGACATGCTCTTTAATTCCAAACGATTTTTTACCCTTGATGAATTCAAAGAACGCTTCAATTCAAATATAAATTTTCTGGACTTCTTGAGTCTTAAAAATACAATACCAGTTCAATGGACAAAAACAATTTTCGAAAACGACAAAACTCTTGACCACTATCCAAATAGCAAAAAACATCTATTGAAATTCATAGAAAAGAAAAAGATATCCAGAATAATTTATTGGGAATTCATTAAGGATCTCGATTTCAATAAAAGTTATATTTTAAAGTGGAACGATGAACTGAATATTGATCTCAGTAATCATGAATGGCATATCATAAATACTATGAACAAAGTGAGTAATTTTGAGCCAAAACTAGCATCTTTTAACTATAAAGTGCTCCATAGATTTTTGCCTACAAATAAATATCTACATATGTGCGGTCTCCAAGAATCTGCTCTTTGCAGTTTTTGCGGAAACCAAGTCGAAACTATTGGCCACCTACTTCTTCATTGTGAACTGGCAAAAAATTTGCTGAGTGATATCAAGAAATGGTTGCCAGAGGGACTGTCCGTTTTATGTGATTTGAGAACGATCATATTGGGTCCAGTAATCATGAACGAAAAATCAATACTATTAAACACAATATTTTGCGTATATAAAATATATATTTATCTATGTAAATGTAAAAATGTACGACCAAATTTTGTAGGTTTTAAAAGTAATGTGCAACAATACTTTCAACTTGATGTAAAGTTGGAGAAAGGGGACAAGTGGGGAGAGATCAAACACGTATTATCATTATAGTAGAATTTACTTGATTTGTCTAGGATGATCTTGTATATATTATATATCCAAATAATCTACATGAAATGTAACAACAACTGAATACTCTATCTATTGGTGGTGCTCTTGGCAGAAATACCTGCGATTTATTGTAAAATTAATGTAGAACCTTTTTATATTGAATATTTGTATTTCGTCGCATGAGAATAACTTTGTACTATCTCACATTTTTACGGAACTGAGAAATCAAGGTTTGAAAGTTTAGAGGTCTGTATCTTACTTAGTATTGCTATGTGAATCTTGATTTTTTGTATGTTACCTGGTCTCACCCTAGAGATATCTTATATGACATATCATACCTTGAAACAATTTACAAGATCCTTTTTTAAAACTATGGAAATGGAGTTGATACAACTTCCCACCGGAATAACAGCTTATTTCTAATTTCAAATTGTCATATCTGATATCAACTGTTTCAACCAATCAACTCTCTAAGAATTGGTCATGTGACTTGCAAAACTTGGAGTTATAACAATCTTATATTAAAACAAAGTATGCCAATATGCATGTTATTGTATCTAGAATGAAAAATAATGTTTTGCTTTGTAAAAAAATCTTCAAAAACCAAAGAATATTATTTAATAAAACAAAGAAAATTCAATTTATAAAACTTTAAAATCAATTTCTCAAATAAGTACAATTATTTCTTAATTTTGGAATCTCAGGACACCCTTCAAAAAGAATTTATTGCCTTTGAAACTAAGGCAGAAGTACAATGCATTGAAACCAATACGGTCCCCCACATATTTCCCTCGGTATAAACCCTGTAGCCTAAACCTCCCAGCACATTACAATGTAGCCCCTAAGGGCCGGTCCGCTGGTCATTATCAGGTTATTTTTGATACAGACCAGTTGATTTTTTCACTGGGTATAGGAAAATAACATTGCAACTGGTCCGTAATTCCATTTTGACCAGCAGGTTTCAGATACTTAGGGCCTAAGACATAACCAATTTTATTACATGCACATGGAAGAAATTTGAAAATAGAAAAATAATTTCTAATTCATTTTAGATTAATGAAAGTGATGAAACCTCGATTTAGGTAATCACATTTTGTTCATTGGGATGCAGCTATCATTATCCATTCATTTTCTGTTGTTTGCTACTCTGTGGAGTACAACTGGGAATTGAAGCAATTGTAGAAGTAGAGACTAAGAGTGGCTCTTTGTAAAGAAATTGAACCAATTTGTTACTTTTCCAAAATAAAATGTAGATGATCTAAAAACAATGATCCCAAAAATGCAAAAGAAAGGACAAATCTGAAAAACATACTAGTAATAAAATAACTAAAAAGATCCCAGATGTTCAGTGAAAAGCGCAAAGTAAATCATAGATGAAGAGAAAATAAAATAAGTGTTTTAAGGGACTATACTAGCATAAAGATAACTCCTTATTGATATAGTGTATGGTCAGTAAACGTTAAAGCTAGTTTAAATAGATTTAGCTTTTTTCCACAAACTATAAAACATCATTTTGAAAGAGATTTCAATAGTATACAGACAGTGATTGCCTTTGAGCAATGTAGTGCAAAATATGACAGTTACTATTTGTTTTGATTACTATATCTAGTATATAACCTATTATTATGTACTCTATTTGAAGAAACAAATAAGTAGTCTTTCATTTTCAACATTTAATGATGACAGCTTCGTATATGCATTTCTATTGCATTTGGCCATTCAAACCCCTATAAGACCTGGTAGCAGGGAAGATAAAGGGTACTTTTGACTGCTCACATGATCTAATTAACTGGTCATTTGTACTTTTCATCTTCCCTGGTAGCAAGGATTTAGGTTTTCGAGGAAATTAGTAATTCTATTTCATATCATGTGGCCATGAATAATCCAATGATCCATAATACAAAGAGTAATTGAGGGCATATAATTTGAGTATGCATGGGATTACACATACTGTATCATTTTTTTTATTTATCTACTTGTAATAGTTCTAAAACTAAAACATGAAAGGCCAGGCATGCAAACTGGCATGGTATTGTGTTACAAAACATTATTTCATTCTAGATACAATAACATGCATATTGGCATACTTCGTTTTAATATAAGATTGTTATAACTCCAAGTTTTGCAAGTCACATGACTAATTCTTAGAGAGTTGATTGGTTGAAACAGTTGATATCAGATATGACAATTTGAAATTAGAAATAAGCTGTTTGTCTGGAGATGGTACAATTTCACACTGAATTCTAGCTTAATGAGAGGGAATTGAGATGGGGCATGTATCTGAGATGAAAGACTGTGTTTCAAATAGTAAAATTCCATGTCTATCTAAATTTTTTTGAAAATGGCAGTTAGTACAAAGTTATTCTCACGCGACGATTTATTAAATTGTAATGCTGCTAAACCTGAAATAAAAACCAATTAAAAAAAACAAAAACAAAAAACTTCATACAATGGACAGTAGGCAGTCGCATCCAAAATACGACCCTAAATATCCTTCTTGAATAAAGCGCGAAATTTCTTTTTCAGTATGAAAAAATATGGCATTTATTATGTGAAATTTATAAATCAAGTTTCTGTTAAAAATTAAACATTTCTTAAACCTTTCTTAAATTCCCTTAATCTATCTGCTCAATAATAGAATATAAGTTATAATTTGCATGAGATGATGAAAATTTGACTTACCATTTTATTAGTTTCCTCTTCAATCTGTCTTTGACTACTATTAGCTAAGACTGATACGATTCTAAATAGGGAGATATGAATTATGCCAAAATAATGAAATACTGAAATGTTCACTGATGTAATGATGCGCTAACAACTTTGGTACAATTAGCGAGAGCATCTTAGATAATTGTCACTTGACAAAATGGCAGGAGCAGGAACACATTGCTAATTACCCCCAGTGAATATTATATTTATGCAATAATAACTTAATAATTATGTACTGAAAAACTATTCAAACATGACCGTGCTCTATTCGAATTTCTCAACCAATCAGAATGCAGCATAGCCAATATAGAACGTTCTCTAATTCTCCATAGATGCACGACCATGCTCTATTCAATCTGCAATTTGCATTGTTTTGAGTGACGTCACATCTCAGCTGCACATCTGGGGCTCTGTCCGGGGATAGCTGTTCTTTTTTACTCCCTTCGTAATTTTTATTTTATCAACACCCCATGTTTGCATACACCGTATAAAATCTAAAACGGGGAGTAAAATAGAACAGCCCAAACAAATTCTAAAATTTTTCCGGCCGACTTCAGAATCTTGACAGCATGCGTATTCTTCCTTCATGCCCGTTCCACAGACACGGCTTTTACTAATTTTTATGTTTGAATCGGAATAAATAATGATAGGCCATTCAATATGGTGAAATTCAGCACTCGTTGGACAGAATGTTAGTACAAATGCACTCACCTTCGGTTCGTGCTTTGTACAACATTCTGTCCAACTCGTGCTGAATTTCACCATATTGAATGGCCTATCATTATTTATTCCTTAAATATTGCCTGAACAAGTAAAGATCACATTAAAAATCAGTTAAGACTGAATTGCAATCTTGATGTACACTAAGAAAATATTTATGAAAATATGAAATATAATATCTAGGCAAAATGGTCATACCATGACCTACAAAGCGGATCTAATCAATTGTTTATGATATTATTCACACGAAGATCGACTATAAAGTCATCAATATATATACATCAAACACTATTTCTAATATTGTTTATAAATACTAAGATTATGCATAAGATAGCAGGTTACCTTATGGAATTTATTTTGTATCAAAATTGGACATTACATGATGTATGGGAAAAATCGAACTATATGATGCGATACTCGAACCATATGATTCGAAACTCGCATCATACTATGCGAAATACGCATCATTCTATCTCACCATATTACGCAATCAGCGAGACTATATGAGATGATGACCATCATCTGACCAGCACTTGTTGACCGACTTCTAGGCCATGCACAGCTAGCTATTTAGATAAGGATTATCAAGTACCTTGAACTTTTAACAATACTTCTTCCAGGAATTGGATATTATAATTACGCATTTACCTCATAGTTTTAGATATATTACAAACATTTGAGGAAAAATGTCAGAAATGAATGAAAAAATGGAAAAAGAACTTTTAGATGAGGATGAAGAATGCCAACAATCAGTCCAGGGTGACATAAGTGGAGATGAACAATCAGTCCAGAATAATTTCATGGATGCTCTTATGGAACGATTGGATCGAATAGAGAAAAGGCAGGCTGAGACGCAGCCTTCTACTTCAAAGCGTTTGAAGCGCACAATGGATTACCAATCTCCGCTGACTAAGCTGTACTCCACAGCTTCGGATCCAGAAACATCCCCTGATGAGGAATCAGACGACTTGGATGATGATCAAAAATCCCTTTTAGGGAAATTGAGAACTACCCAGAGACCCAATAGAGAATCTGGGAGTAGTTCTGCTGGGATAGATTTCTCAGCATTAGAACTAGAGTTTGGGGATTCAGAGCCTCTTGGCCCACCCCTGCCTGAAGAATGGGCAAAGTTTGTAAACAAACGATTCAGTACAAAATTATCTACTGATACACTGAAGGCAAGAATGAAAGAGATCAAAAAGCCTGAAAATGTGGAAAAAATTGTCCCGCCAGAGACAAACCCTGAAATAAAACGAAAACTAACTCAGGGAAATGAAAAAAGAGACCAAATTTACATTAACATGCAGACAACACTTGGTCGGGCTGCCATCTCAATGGTGAATGCAGCTAAGCCATTGCTTCAGAACTCTTCCACAGAGGAAGAAAAACAGGAGGCCGTGAAACAATCGATGCAAGCGATTGCACTCGTTGGCCATGTATTTTCAAATCTGAATATTACAAGACGTGAATGCATGAGGCGCACTTTACAGCCAATGTACCAGCCATTATGTAGTACTGATAACCCTGTGGGCAAATATCTCTTCGGAGATGACCTGTCAAAGTCACTGAAGGACCTCAAACAGTCAGACCAATTAGCGCGAGACGCACACAGGTCTTCAAAAAACTGGGGAGGCCAGAGCAGAGGATTCAAAAAGAAATCTCAGGACTGGTCCAAAAAAGGAAAAGGAAAGTGGCAGGAGAACAAGAACTCTCACAAGAGCCACTTCAAGGGCAAAAAAGAAAAAGATTAAAGGTAAGTGAAACCTTTGTTGATAGCAAATCTGAAAAAACAGTTGACTCAGATAATATGTGCAAAACTAAACAAAATAAAAAACATGCTCTGTATAATGAACTAGAATGCTCTGTTGCAATGTTCAAAGCTGGCCAAATTAAAAATAAACTATCAAATTGGCAAAAATTAACAACTGACCCTGACATATTAGGGATGATTAGTTCTGGGGTAAAAATTGAGTTTATTGACTCTCCACCCAAGCAAAAATATATGCCTAAACAAATTGAGTTCAGCAAAGAACAAATACTAATAATTGACGAAGAAATTGCAAAGCTTCTTAAAAAGGGAGTCATTAAGCAGTCTTTCCATGAAGCAGGAGAGTACATGTCAAATATTTTTTTGAGAGAAAAGAAAGATGGGGCTTTTAGAATGATACTTAACCTCAAGTCTCTCAATAAACACATTTTGTACAACAAGTTCAAAATGGAGACAATAATGACTGTCTTAAAAATGGTTAAGAAAAACTGCTTTATGGCTTCATGTGACTTGAAGGATGCTTTCTATACAGTGCCAATACATAAGAATGACCAAAAGTATCTGAAATTTATTTGGAAGGGGAAAATTTTTGCCTTTACATGCTTTCCAAATGGGCTATGTTTTTGTCCACGAAAATTTACAAAATTGATGAAGCCAGTTTTTGCACATTTACACATGCAAGGGCATTGTAGTTCATATTACATTGATGATAGCTATTTACAAGGGGACACATATGCAGATTGTGTGAAAAATGTTAATGCAACATGTGACCTAATGAGCAATTTAGGCTTTACTATACACCCTGACAAATCGGTCCTAGTTCCTACACAGAGATTAGAGTATCTTGGGTTCATTATAGATTCATTAAGTATGAAAGTGTACTTAACAGACAATAAGTCTACAAACATCAAAGCATCATGTAAAGCTCTTCTACAAAAGTCAAAATTCTCAATTAGGGAAGTAGCCAAAGTTATAGGATTGATTGTATCATCCTTTGTTGCTGTAACATATGGTCCATTGTACTTTCGGCACTTGGAATTAGATAAAAGCCAGGCTGTAAAATTATCAAAGGGCAATTATGATGCTCCCATGTCCCTTTCCCAGGCTTCTAAACAAGAGTTACAGTGGTGGTCACAAACTGATGACTTGTCAGGGAAAAACATTATTCAAAGTAACCCAGACATGACCCTAATTACTGATGCATCATTATCAGGATGGGGGGCAGTTTTCCAAAAACAAAAGACAGGGGGACCTTGGTCAATTGAAGAAGCAAACATGCATATTAATTACCTTGAAATGCTCTCTGTATTTTTTGCTTTGAAAAGCTTTTGCTCCAAAAATTCTGATGTTCATGTGAGAATACTCTCTGACAATATGACAACTGTGCAAGTACTTAATAACATGGGCTCTAGTCACTCAACCAATTGCAATGAATTAGCAAAGAAAATCTGGTTGTGGGCAAAAGATAGAAATATCTGGATAAGCTTAGCTCATTTGCCAGGTTCATTGAATATCGAAGCAGACACTGAATCAAGGCAAAAACATTTTTGGGAAAAAGAGTGGAAAATAAAACCTAACATATTCAATGACTTTCTGATATATTTTGAAGTGAAGCCTGATATTGACTTATTTGCCTCTAGGCTCAACAAACAACTACCCAAGTATGTTTCATATCGCCCTGATCCTGGTGCATTTGCTGTAGATGCCTTTACTATTGACTGGTCTGAAACTATGTTTTATGCATTTCCACCTTTCAGTTGCATTGGGGCCTTATTACAAAAGCTGGAGACAGAGAAAGCCAAAGGCGTGTTAGTATATCCAGAATGGCCAACTCAGGCGTGGTATCCAAGGGTTCGCAAATTAGCCATAAAAACAATACAACTACCAAGAAATGCCTTGATCCTACCAACTCAACCAGGCCTTCAACATCCAATGAAAACACTAAGACTGACAGCTGCTGTCATATCAGGAAAGCTTTGATGTCTAAATACAAATTGTCAAATGAAACTGTTGATGTCATAATGAAGTCGTGGCGCGTTACATCAATTAAACAATACATAAGTTTTATCAAACGTTGGATGACATTCAGTGCATCACGGAAATTCAATGCTCTTGAACCAACATTAGACCAGGCATTGACATTCATGACAGAGCTTGTCAAAAAGGGACTTGGATACAGTTCACTAAATACATGCAGATCTGCATTATCCGCAATATTACCAATATATGATGGGTCTTCCTTTGGGGCTCACCCATTAGTATCCAGATTCATGAAAGGAGTTTATGAAATAAAACCATCTCTCCCTAGGCTGAATGCAGGAACTGTTTGGGATGTAAAAACAGTACTAAACTACTTGGAGACATATCCTAGTAATAAAACTTTACATATCAAATCCTTAACTCATAAATGCTTGATGCTATTGTCTCTGGCACTAGGGCAGCGAATTCAATCAATTCATAGCCTGAAAACAACTGATTTGAATTTTAGTCAGGATAGCTGTACAATACACTTTACGGAGATTTTAAAGACCTCAAAACCTG